GCCGAGGGCCGTGGGACACAGGGCACCTGCTCTCCCGGGGCCCAGCCTTAGCTCTGCCCGGAGCCGAGAGGCGGTGGAACCCAGTGGTCAGGGACCCAGCCTCTGATTCCAGCTGCCTGGTACTGCTCACAGGCTGGGGGACCTTGGTCGAGTGTCAACCACTCTGAACCTCTGTTTCCTCCTCGGTAAAGTGGAAACAATACCTTGACTGACCTCATAGGATTATGTGAGATAAGTCACATACAGCTCTTCGCAAATCTGGGGGGTGGCGGAGGCTGGGGCTGGGCCGGTGGTGTGTCAAGACAGGGCCTGACAGCAGCATGGGAGGAGGGCAAGGAACAGCAGACCCCAAGTCTTCCAGAAGTTTCTAAACTCTGGAGGAGCCCTGGGTGCACATGAGGGGTTGCCCGCATGGGGCACCTTAGGTCAAGGGGACGCGGGTGGAGCAGCCGGCAGGGCAACCAGACAAGATTCATCTTGGAGGCCCTCCTGGGGGAGGTGGGCCAGCAAGTCCCCAGCTCTGTAGGGCCTCCTTGGGCCTGTGGCTCTCTCTCTCGGAGCCTCGGTTCCCTGGTTTGTCGAATGAATGGGCAACGTTCTAGAGGAGCCCCAGGGAGGGGAAGACGCTGGCTTTTCCCTGGCGAGGGGCGAGAATCCGTGTGTCCCCTCCCCTTGTGTCCCCCATTCTTTGTCTCCTGCCTCCCTCCTCCGTGTGAAGGGCAGGATCCACCTGTCCCGAGCCTCCTGGCTAAGGCCGAGGGACAACTGTATCCCTTGGAGAGAGGGCCGTTAGCGAGGGGACTCCCGGTTTCCAGAGCAGGGTAACTGAGTAGTAGGGAAGCTTCTGGAAGGCCTTCTGAACCTATCGAAGAACTTGGAACAGAAAGGTGTAGTTTCGTGGCTAGGACCACAGACTTTGGGGCCAAGCTGCGTGGATTCGCGTCTGGCTTTTCCACATGTCGGCTGTGTGACCTCGGGCTAGTGATTTCACCTCTCTGAGCCTCCCTTTCCCTGTCTTCAAATGAGTGTGATAAAACCTGCCTCCGAGTGTGGCAGTGAGGGTTCAAGAGTGAGTAGGTGTACGATGCTTACAGCACCAGGACATACCGCATGCTTTGTGTGGGTGTGTTGTTCTGGAGGATTTGATCTGCCCCGGCACCCCCTCAGGTCCTCACCAGGCGTGTGCTGGAAAGAACTGACTTTGGAGTCAAAGGGACATGTGTTTAGATCCAGGCTTTGCCACATGTGGTCCTCTCTGAACCTCAGTTTCCTTTTCTGTAGAAGGGGAACCTACTAGTGCCAACCCTGAGGGCATTTAAGCCAGATCCCATGTCAAGGCAGTGGGCCCCGTGTGGGAGGGCACGCTGTATAGACTCTGCACATGGGAGTCTGAACCCTGTTTTCTGGCTCCCTGGCTTCGGGTGGGGGGCTTTACCTCTCAGGGCTCCATTTCCTCATCTCTCAGAAACCGAAGGGCATGCACATCTCCCCTGAGACCCCCACAGTGGGGCCATCCCTTCTGTACTCCCTGGGGGGCTCCACCCTGGGCCTGGAGCCACTGCCTGCTGGAGAGGGGGAGTTGGGGGTCCCTGTGATGGGCACAGGGAGGATAAGGCTGGGCTGCTGCCAGCAGAGGGTGCCAGGCCTCCATGCCAGGCGGACCCGGGCCAGGGGGCTCTTTGCCGGTGGGCCTGACCGGGCGAGTGTGGCATCTTTGGGAGCCAGGACAAAGCTGTGTCTGAGAGGACGAGGCTGCCCCAGAGGAGTTTCAGGGGCCCCGGGAGAGTGGAGAAAAGTGCTTAGAACAACTCAGACCTCTCGGGGCTTGTGGTCTCTCTGGGGGCTCCCTGGTGGTCTCAGGCCTTCTCCCTTTCTCACCCTCTGCAGCTGCCAGGCTGTTCCCTCAGCCACAGTGAAGCTTCCAAAGGACAAAACTGGTTCCCACTTCCACAGACATCCTTCCTTTCTCCCATGCATTCATGCGGCAAACTCCTATTCATCCTTCAAAACCCTGCTCTGAATCCCTTCTTTCAAGGAGTGCTGCCTGGTTCCTACTCCCTCAGCTTCCCCTTTATACCATTTTGGTGCCTGGGGTGAGCCTCTGGTCTAGCACCTGGCACCCTGGGGCATCCGGGTCTCTCTCCCTCACCTGACAGACTGTGAGATCTCAGAATCAGGGGCCCTGCCTTCCTCCTTTCCGTCTTCCCAGCACATAGCGTAGGGCCTATTAATCATTTGTCAAGTTGAACTTCTGACTAATGGAATATAGACCCTGTCAAGTGCAGGGGGACAGATATCAAGTCCTACTGTGCACCAGGCCTGCAGTGGGAGTTTCTCTGTATCATCTCATTTAATCCTGTGAGGCGAGTGGTAGGAAGCCCTTTAACAGAGGAGCTACAGGGGGACCCAGAGAAGAAAACTGGCTTGTCCGCTCCCTTGTGGGGCTGGGGTTGGACTCAAACCCTGGCCAACAGGGAGCCTTCCAGGCTGTGAGGCTGAGGCTGGGGGGGCGGGGCCTGGAGAGAAGTAGGGGAGAAGGCACAAAGGGACCCAGAACTGGAGAGAGTGGCTGGGAACTGTGGGTGAGCCCCCGCCCCGGGGACCAGCACGAGCCCCGTGGTGGGTGGGGGCCTGGCCTGCCTCCACCTCCCCGTCTGCCTGCATTCCTCAGGCCGGTGGGGCTGGGCAGCCCCTTCGCTGGGCCCACTCTCAAGACACCTTTAGTCTGAGCACTGGAGGGGCTTTCAACATCCTGTCGCCTTGTGGGGGGAGACAGAGGCTGGGAGAAGGGGCGGTGGCAGGACAGCGTGGGACTCTGTGCTCTGGGGGCCAGAGGAGCTCAGCCCGACCCCCGGCCCCGCGTTGCTGGCTGTGTGGGCAGGGTGCTGACTGCCGGTGCCTTTGCTTTGTCGTCTGTAAGATGGGAATGACATTGGCACCTGTCGGGTGGGGCGGTGCTGCCGATCCTGGAACTCGCTCCTCCCAGCTGTTCTAACATCATCCCTGAGCCGGTTCTCCCAGTGGGCTGGCAGGAGACCCCGAGTTAGAACCCGCTTTCAGGATTTGAGCCCCGGACCCTTTCGTCCAGGGTTTCCTGGCGCTTAGGAAGGGCCGAGGGAGGGCGGTGAGCAAGGAGTATTTGGGAGGGGGTGCCAGGGCCTGGGGCACCGCTGGGGCTGCCTGGGGCACGTGAGGGCCCCCTGCCTGCCGGGCCGCCAGTGTGGGGTGTCCTCCTGACCTTGCCCCCATCTCCGCTTCCAGGACGGACCTGTACCTGCACCAGATGGCAGACAGCAGCTCCTTCGGCATGGGCACTTGGCCCAAGGTAAGGCGGGGGTCCTTCTGGGGGGTGTGGGTGTAGCCCAGGGTGGGAGGGTGAAGGAAGGGGCCCGTGCGACTCGTCTGCGTTGCTGCTGGGGTGCATCGCTGGAAAGGCTGTTGGTGTCGGGGAGGCAGGGGCTGGACTCCCCGGGGCGAGGAGACGTGTGCAGAGAAAGGCAACAAGGGGATGGTATCCGTAAAGGGAGGAGCCTGGGCTCTGGGGACAGGCCATCTTGGTTCAAAGCGCAGCTCTGACACTTGTTAGCTGCGTGACCTCGGGCATGGAAGCCAGCCTCTCTGAACGTCTGTTTCCTCTTTGGTGAAATGACGATAGGAGCCATGACTGCCACACGGGCTCGTTGTGGGATGAAAGGAAACAATGTGCATAAAGCACCTAGCACATTCTTGGCCCAAATCCGTCAGTCGGGGACTCTTAGCAAATGTCACTGTGAGTACTGTGGGCGGACGCCTCAGAGCCGGCTTCCTGGAGGCTGTGGCTTGGGAGCAGAGCCTGAGAGGTGGCGTTCAATTGATGAAAAAAGCAACTTGTTCCCTCGCTCGTTCATTCTTTTATTCATTTTTTGATATGTCGACAATTGTTTTCTGAGTCGCCTCCCCCCACTGCCCCCACCAGCACCAGCTGTGCCAGGCCTGTGCTAAGTGCTGGGGTGATGGTCCGTATCCATGAATTTCCCTCTGTCAGGAGAGAAGGGCTTGGGGACTGGTGCAATCATGAGGGATAAGAACATGCCGGAGGCTGCACAGATGCTGTGGGCACCAGGGGGTTGTTGAAAGACCTGCTTGGCCTCAGTCAGGGAAGGCTTCTTGGCCAAGGAGACAATCAGTCTGGGTTTTGTAGGATGAGTAGGAGTTCGCCAGGTGGAGAAGGGTGGATAATTTCTACTCCAAAGCCTTTTTCAAACATATATGTCTGGGAAACAAATGGTGTTGGGATAATTGGACATCTTCATGCCAAAAAAAATGAATTTCAATCTGTGTCTTCATACCACACACAAAAATTAACAGGAATTGGATCATAGTCCTAAACATAAAACTTAAAACTGTAATATTTCTAGAAGAAAGCGGGAGAAAAAATTCTGTAACCTTGGATTGGGCAAAGATTTCTTAGATGTGACACCAAAAGCACGGTCCAGAATAAAACAAATTGATAAATTGTACTCCCGTGAAGTGAAGAACTTCTGCTCTGTGAAAATCGCTGTTCATGTGAAAATCCAAGGCCCAGACTGGGAGAAAATATTTGCAAATCACATATCTGATGAAGTATTTGAATCCAGAATATATAAACGACTCTCAAAACTCAAGTAGAACAACCCGATGGAAAAAAAATGGGCAAAAGATTTCAGCATACTTCACAAAAAAAAGATACATGGATGGCAAATAAGCGCATGAAAGTACGCTCGACATCATTGGTCGTTACAGACCTTCAAAGGAAAGCCACAATGTGACACCGCTGCAGGGTCACCAGACTGTCTGCATTTAAAAAGACCGATCGTACCAAGTGCTGGCGAGAACTTGGGGTAACTGGAGCTCTCCCACCCTGCAGGTGGGAATGCAAAATAGCACAGCCCTTTTGGAAAACAGTTTCTTAAACCAGTTAAACATCCACCTCCCGTATGACGCACTGTTCTCCTCCTAGGTGCTTATGCAGAAGGATGAGACTGTCACGTCCATACAAAAACTCTTGCAAGAAAGTTCACAGCAGTTTTATTTGCAACAGCCCAAACCTAGAAACTCCCCGAAGGTCTAGTTATGTCTGATAATTAAGCTGGGTGAAAAATCTCAGCTGAAAGAGAGTGCAACTCTGTGATTCCATGTATGTGAAACTCTAGACAGTGCAAGCTGATCTGCAGGGTCAGAAACAGGTCAGATGCCAGCCTGGTGGCCTAGTGGTTAAGTTCGGCATGCTCTGCTTTGGTGGCTTTGGTTGGGTTTCCTGGGTGCAGACCTATGCCACTCATTAGCCATGCTGTGGTGGTGACCCACATACAAAATAGAGGAAGATTGGTGCAGATGTTAGCTCAGGATGAATCTTCCTTAGCAAAAAAAAAAAAAGAAAAGAAAAGAAGAGAAAACAGGTCAATCGTTGCCTGGGGATTGGGTGAGGGCAAGACGAGGGGAGAAAAAATTATAAAAGGGAGCCTTTGGGGGTGACGGACATGTTCATTGTCTTTACTGTGGAGATGGTTTCACGAGTGTAAATGTCCAAGTTTATCAAATTCTATGTTTATAAAGACGGGTGGGTTCTCCTTTGTCAATTACACATCAATAAAGCGGTTACACACACGCTGGGTGCCGTCCACAGAGTTACTGAATCAGCGGGTCTGGGGTGGGGCCTGAGAATCTGCATTTCTCACGAGTCCCCAGGGCTGCTGATGCTGCTGGTTCTGGGACCTGACTCTGAGAACCCCTGGAGCGCAGCCCTTTTCCGTGGAGGGTGGGGTGGGATGGAGCGGGTGATGTGGCTCCTCTGTCTTTAGATTCCGGGGGCTGATCCGCGGTCCCCTTGCTGGTCCCCCTTCAATGGGGCGTCTGCGGGGTGTTCATCCTTCATGCCCCCATGACTAGGGTCCGTTGGGCACCCAGACCTCCATCTTGATGGCGGAGGATGTGGGGCGATCCCTGCGCTGGGTTTTCTCGTTCATTTAATGGGTTTTGGCCAAATGCATCCATTTCATCAGCAAGAAGGTGGTTGTTTGTTTTCCTGTTGTTTTCGAGGAGGAAAAGGGCGGGAGCCGGGCCTGTGACCCGTTTGTTCAGTCTTACGCAGGACGGTCGCTGCGGGAATCCGCGTCCAGGAGGCGTTTGAAGTGGTTTGTTTTTTCCCTGTGTTTCCGGGGGTGTTTTTGAGAACACTGGATGTGTGGGAACTGGTCGGATGGCCCTTTGTTCTCTCTGCTCCTTGGCAGGTACGCAGAGAGTGTTTTCTCTGTTCTTTGAGATCAAAAATAAAGTCTGAGGACTCGTTGGTCTTTGAGACGAGCCTGGGCTAGTTCTCTGGAGGGGGCGGTCCGGGGACCATCTCACAAGGGAGGTTGAGGTCAGAAAATGCCTCCTGAGAATGGGAGTTGCTAAGTAGACACCCCCAAAGGGGTCAGATTTAGCAGATAAAAATACAGGATGCCCAGAACTGATTCGTCCTGTAATGGATCGAACTACGGTGACCACAGCTGATGCTGCTGGACAGATCGTGTCTTTGAAAGGTGACGAGAGCCTGGATCCTGTGTTCCTACCACACACACACGGTGACCAGGTGAGGTGACGGATGTGTAACAAACTTGATTGTGGCGATCACAGCACAGGGTACGCGTATATCAAATCGTTACCTTGTACACCTAAAAATTCACAAATTTTATTTGTCCATTATACCGTTAAGTAAAGCTGGAAAAAATACAGGATGCTGGTTAAATTTGAATTTCAGATAAACATCTAATAGTTTTTTAATATAAGCGTATGGAAAACAATGCACGGGCAGGCCTGGAGGGCTGGAGTCGTATCAGAGAAGGCTGCCTGGAGGAGGAGGCACAAGCTGGTCCTGGACTTACAATGAAGTTAGACGAGTGTAGTGAGGTCAGTTTTCCGGCGACACCAAATATGGCAGGGAGATATGCTAAAAAAAAGGATCTGTTGTTGATCTGAAATTCATATTGGACTCGATGTCCTTCCTCGTATCTGGCGATTCTACTGCCCGTATTTCTCCCCCGCTGAGCCCTCTTTCCCCGCCTGCTGGCCGTTCCCCTGACTGGTCACTTCTGCTTCTGTTTCATCTGTCGCAGTCGGTTCCATCGTCCCCTGAAAATTCACCGAGGATGGTGGTTGGGAAGCGGTCTGTGGAGTCTGACATACGCGGGTTCCAATTCCACCGCCAGCACTTAGCTCAGTGGCCTCAGACCCCCGGGCCTCAGTTTCCTCATGTGTAAAATCGGGATGGTCATTGTCCGCCCTGCTCCCGAGTGACGTGAGATGAAGCCCGTGACGCCTCTGGACAGTGCCTGGATCCACCCCATGCCGGCTTTATTATTATCATCGCTGTTGTTATTACTGGGATTATTCAGTTTGAGCCCAGACGGCAGCGTTGGACCAGCCGGGCGGGGCCAGGCCTCAGTGGCCCCCCGGGGTCCCCGATCCACGTTCCTCGCGGCACATGCCATGTTTTTTCTCTTTCTGGCTTTATCTCAATTCTACTCGAGTTTATATTTTTAAGGAAACATTTATTTAAAAAATTAAATTAGTCCATACGTCCGTGGGAAAATCAGAAAAAAAGCAAAGATACAAAAAACCCCAAAACGCACACATTCCAAACCAAAAAACAGGCTCCACGGACGGCACCCTCCAGAGACCTCCATTGGTCCCGTGTCCACGGATCTCCTCTCAGTAATTTTCATTTGAAGATTTTACATGGAACACAAACTGTAGAGGGGCCTTCCTGTGGTCCTTGATGGTGAGGTGATAAATATCTTTGTGCATCTTCTCAGGCCTGAGCCCCTACCCCTGCCCACCCCTCTGTCCACGGAGAGGCCACCCGTGTGGTGTATGTCGCCACTTCCTTGGTGACGGTCATCATGTGTCACACTGTTAACTTATGGCCAGTCTCCCCTCGGCCCTAAGTTCCGAGAAGATGAGGGGTCTTCTGTGTCCTGTCCACTGCTTAACGTACAAGGCCTTGCACTGAGCCAGGCATGCGAGTGCTCAGTAAATGTTTGTTGAGTGAATAAGTGATTGAGCATGTTCCCCACCACAACTTGGCAAAAATCACATCTTTTCAGCTTTCTAAACTGTGCTGCTGTGGTAGGCAGAGCTGTGTTAATGATGTTCTAATTTATCCCTCTGTGCCTGTGAGGCGTGTCCCCAGGGCTTTGGGGATCTGGTGTCTGTCTTTGGACCCGCCACCTGCATCCTGGGAGCTGGGGCCATTGCTGGCAGTCACAGACGACCTGGAGCCATTGGGATTAGACATTTGGGGGCTCTCATCCCTCAGCCAGCCTG